TCGATTAAGTTCTCTCTCCTCCCAAGGAGGAGAGAGAACCTTGATTCCCGGCCGCTTACCTCATCAAAACATCCCCGGATGTTTTGATGAGGTAAGCGGCCTGCTGCTCTGTTCGTTTCCCTCCCCCCCCCCTCTTTCCTCCCCCTCCTTTTCTGTCCTCAACCACCACCTCACGCGCCCCAGCCAGCCCTTGGAACAAAACCGAAGGCAAACCAGCCGCCTCCCGACCCGACCGACGCGACCGAAACCGACCGAGGGCTGTTTCCAGGCCCGAAAGCTCCCAAGGGAGCCCACGCACGTCCCAGGCGCCGATCCGATCCGGTCCGATCCGGTCCGATCCGATCCGATCCGATCCGACCCGACCGTCTCTGACCCTGGTGGAAAAAAATAGTAAGTAATTTTTTTTTTTGTTTTTTTATTCTTCTTTTGCAGTCACTTGCCCCAAAAATCCGCCAAAAAGGGCGCTTTTTTGGGGGCTATCAAGCCATGAGGGTATGAATCTGACCCTTTTTTTTCATTCCAGAAGACCAACCAACCTTGAATTGCACCGCCTCTCATCGGAAAAAAAAGTAAGTAATATATATATATTTTTTTTTTATTCTTCTTTTGCAGTCACTTGCCCCAAAAATCCGCCAAAAAGGGCCCTTTTTTGGGGGCTATCAAGCCATGAGGGTATGAATCTGACCCTTTTTTTCAATCCAGAAGACCAACCAACCTCGAATTGCACCGGCTCTGATCAGAAAAAAAAGTAAGTAATATTTTTTTTATTTTTTATTCTTCTTTTGCTGTCACTTGCCCCCAAAATCCGCCAAAAAGGGCCCTTTTTTGGGGGCTATCAAGCCATGAGGGTATGAATCTGACCCTTTTTTTCAATCCAGAAGACCAACCAACCTCGAATTGCACCGCCTCTCATCGGAAAAAAAAGTAAGTAATATTTTTTTTATTTTTTATTCTTCTTTTGCTGTCACTTGCCCCCAAAATCCGCCAAAAAGGGCCCTTTTTTGGGGGCTATCAAGCCATGAGGGTATGAATCTGACCCTTTTTTTCAATCCAGAAGACCAACCAACCTCGAATTGCACCGGCTCTGATCAGAATCCAATCCGGGGCAATAAAAAAGAAGGCTGAAACTAGGCCTTGTGAGTAAATTTCGTTTGGGTCTCCTGCCAGGAAAATACGCCACAAAGGGATTTTTCTGGGGGCTATCCAGCCATGTGTGAGGGTATGATGCTGACGCTTTTTTTATCCAAATAAAAAAAGTGCCCTACGTACAACTTGTGAGTAATTTTTAATGGGTGCGCAATCCGGTTGAGTCTGAGGCTTATTTTTTTTGGTTTTGCATCCACGCCATAGACCTACAAACCGCTCGAGATTTTCGTTTTGGTTTCCTTGCAGTCCTCCTACACAAACTGCAACCCCCCACACCTACTCTCTCAAGTGTCAAGTGTAAGTATTCTGATTTTTTTAACCCTTGCCATAATCAATTCAATGCTGACTTTTACCTGTGGTTGTGTAGACCATGTCTACCCTGGAACGTAAGTTAAACTCTTGGTAGTTTTCATCATGGGTTCTTTCCATCTCACACGTCTGCTTGAAAAATGTCACAGGTTTGGATCTTTACGAAAAAGTCCAGGCATTGGCCGCCCACCCGGCTTTGAAACCAAACGAACGGGGCCACATTCAAGCGCTCCTCAACGATATCAAGGCGGATTACGAGAATTCTGATGACGAGGATAACACGGGTGGTCCAGAGGTCACCAACATCCAAAGGTCACCTGCAACCCCTGTCGGTGAGGAGCGGCCTCAAACAGCTGTGCATTCATTCAATCTTCCAGCTGCCAAATCCCCCGCTGGCCCCACTGGTTCGGAATCTTACCTGGCCCCAGAACCCCAGGCGGCCAAAGACAATCGAACACCAAATCAATCACCCTCGCGTGCCCCAAGAATAGGTGAATTTTTCATCCTCCCAAATCCTATTGGCGCACCTCGAACGACCTGCCCCACCTTCAGCCAATTCTCGTCGGGCAATACAACCAGTCCAGTACCGGCAGACATCAATATGGATTCACACATGCAAGATGGGCAACATTCGGAAAATTCACGGAGTACTCTCAATACGTTGGGACAGACGACTTTCCTCACGCGAGCCGGCAATGAATTTCTAGAGTCAATTGAGCAAAATCACGCGGTCCTTAATAAGCGGGTTTTGGTGACACCAGCTTCCAACACTGCATCTACGACTAGCCTGACAACGGCTGTTCTATCAAACTCCTCCACCTCTGCCCCTGTGGGTTTGCACCGAATACACCCTAAAAAAACAGTCATCCACGAGCCACGTTCACGTCCGACGCAATACCGCTTTCCCATGGTACAATTGGAAGGGATGGATGATGATCTGGCGGCGAAAAGAGCACGCTTGGAACGCCGTGGTTCACATGAGGATGCCGATGGGAGTACTGATGATGAGTTTGACCACACGGACAAGCAACCATCTCAAGGACAAGTCGAAGTGGTTCTTGACAATGGTCTGGGGCGCGCTGCTGATTTCCGCCAAGGGCCAAACGGACCCCCTCCGCAGGCCAGTCGTCCTTCGGAATTCCTGACAGATTCTATGTTCAGGAACTACGTCATTCCGCGAAGACCTCATGAGGGCACTGGGGCAAACTTGAATGATACGCGCCCTCGCGCGGACCAGAGCCAAAATTCTTCTGGGGGGCCCACTCCTTTGCGGTCTGCAAGATCACCCTGTGAGTTGTTTGTGATGAGTTTCGGTATGATATCAGCTGACTTGAATCTTACTTCCTAGCGGTGGAGCTCTTTGTCCCTGGCCAACACTGTCAGCCACAGAGTACATGTCACAGTACCTTTCATGTACCAAGTAACTGCAACACCTGTACTTATGTACATAAGTACTTATCCATAATGTTGATTACCTTTACCTCTTGTTATCTTATCTTTATCATTAACTTATCTTATCTATCTTACAGTTATCTTATCTGTTAATTACTTATCTATTAAATACATACCTGTGTTCTACATAAGTAATTATCAACTTACCTTTCACTCCCCTGTCCGTGAAATACCTGTACCACAAGTTATACCTCTGCTACAGTATTTTCACGGTCAAATATTATTACAAATAAATATGTACATGTATTAAATAGTAAGTATTAAGTGTCAATAGAATTAATACATTCAATACATGCACTGATCACAATTATGACTACATTATTAGAGGATCTGTCAAGTGCAAGCATCAAGAGCAACTAGTACATTGATCAACTAGTACACAATTATGATGTCACTTACAGATCATGACAAATAATGATCAGCCACTCAATTGATGTGCTCATTCTCCTGGCCAAAGCTCCCTTGATTCTGAGCGCTCATTCTTTCCCCCCTTCAGTATTCTGGAACTTATAATCCGTGCCTCTTTCACTGATTAATCCCCAGAATATTCAGACACCAGTTAAACCAGTTAACATTTATATTGATACAGTACACGTAACCAACATAAATCTTGTCTACATTTATTGTTCTTAAGCTTCAGTACTCTTACTCAACTTATCCACAGTATTCATAGCCTTGCTGAATATTCCCATCAACAATACCTGTTAATCTTCAACTAATTTTGTTAAAGCTTAATAAGTATTGTTAGCCCATTCCCTTTGGGGAATAACCAAATCAATCCCAGGTGAGTCTTAGTACCCTGGATGCCTATTAATACCTTGTATTGATCCGGATGCGCTGTTGATAGCAAGCCTCTCAGTAAAGACCATACTGATAGAGTGAAACCTCCTCTTTACAGGACTGGTATTAATCACCCACTACCTAACACTCACCACGCTCAAAAACTTCAGTCAACTCATAGTAACAACCTTTTTACTATTAAATACTCAGGTTAGTTACCCAGAGGCTGACAAACACCTACCTGCACTAGAGGTAACCCGATGGAACACCGAGTTATCAACTGGGATCCCGTGGTCGATTGAATCTGCCGAAAAGAGTATTAGGAATATCAGTTTCATACTCAACAACCTCCCACAATTGATATCGTCACACCCCACATTACCTGAAGAGGCCACTAGATCACTTTGGATTGATTTGGATCACACCCATCAGCTATGTGTTTCAGGTATGAACTTTTTCTGAGCCAATGAAATTACTCTTCTGACTTATGCTGATATGTATGATTTCCTCCACAGAGGGCATTTTGGAGACAGCGGGGGATTTGTCTCTGATCACACCTGACATGGTCAACATGGACCAAGTCACTCAACCGCGTTCGGCACGGGCCGGCTCACACATACTTGCCCCCAATCTGGCGACGTTCTTTGCGCCCCCCAAAATTGCATACCAGCGTCTTCGGGCAGCCTTGGGGCAAGCTTGGGGAATACGACGGTTGGCCAATGTCAAAAACGAGTGGGTTCAGCAAGCAAACGACGATAATAACGGGTTATACACGGCTTATTATCATTTCTGCCAATCGTATGATAACCTTGGCGCATCACTCAACGACCCGGCAGGTGATGGCGCATCACGATCGGCAATGGAGTTGGTCCAGAACTTCTGTGGCGCTATGGCGGGTCTGGCTTTCATCTGCACCAAGAACAACATGAAAGCGAAGCAGGCCAAATTGGATAAACTGCGAACGGTCCACCACGTACAACATGTGCAGATGCTTGCAAACCTCTTGATCTTTGGCCCAACAGCGGCTTTCACGTCACTCCACAAAGGCCCACACATGACATTATCGAACGCGAACGCCTTGTTGGAATTAGGCTCCAGTGTGCTCAAACAGAAGATTGCCCTCGGAATCACGACCCCAATGCCTCATTTGACATTGGACAATCTTCGAATACACTTCCTGAATTTCCTGATTAAAATGGGTTTCAACCAGTTGGACAACGATGGTGTCCCTCAGGTTAATTGGAAAGACGTACATGCTTCTTTCTACAATGAATTTTCTCCTTCAGTGATTGCTGGGATTTTTTCTCAAGATATTGAAATAGCACTGGCCCACCGGTTGGTTTGAATGGTTGTGGCTTAGGCTTCTTTTGGCATGTTTTTTCTCCTCTGAGTGCTGGCTTGTTTTGGATATTATAGTCCTCTTCTTTTGTCTGCCTCTTTTGGGCTTTTTGCTGGTCCATGTGATTCTGCTATTAATTTCTGCTATTAATTTAGGGTGAGACCGTGATACTGCTGTTAATTTCCCTCTATGTGGTCAGAGGCAAGTTCCGCCGGGGGAATATGTGTCATTTGTGGACATGCTTGTTGGCTGGGTCTCTCAATGTTTCCTGTCATGTATCCTCAATAAATACTGACTCTGAAAATGTGCCTGACATGTGTCACTCAGGTTTGAGTGTTCACAATCAGATATAAACCTGATTGTCAGTATTATATGGTTGCATACAAGGGCATGCACCCCAATTATGTGGGATGAGGTGAGAATCATAAGATGTGGGGCGCTTTCCAAATCACTAACACCAAATTCAACCAGTGGGGGATGTTTTGAGCATAACATATGTGGGCAGGGCTGTCCGTCAGCCCGCGTGTCATAGTTGTCAACTCCCGTCTCATAGGTGACTATAGTAGAGTACTGGAAGAGCTGCTCCTTACAATTGTAAGGGACGACAGCGGATTAATTCCGCTGCAAAGAGAAGAGGAAATTAAATACTAGGCTAGTTACAAAGCTTAACGGTAACTGACTAGTACCACTTAATAAAGAGATAAATTGAATGATTCCAAAGGAGAGTCAAACAAGAAGTCACAAGTAGCAGAAGGGGCATCAACAGTGGAAACATAAGCAAGATATTTCACCTCAAACAAAATATGCAGAAGGAGGGCAGAAGGAGAGGAAACAAGACAAGAAGAATAAGATTAGTAATGAGTGGTCTCTGGGAAAACATTTTGGCGTCCAACAGTCGGAACATCTCCTACAAAGTGATCTGATGGGATCATTTTGTAGGAGATTGGATGTAGAGATCGAGGGAGGGCTTTATGGTTTCCAACCAGGGTTCAATAGGTTTTCCACGAGTGGTCCTGGGCCGCCCCGATACGGGAGGGTATGGAATGAGACCTCGTTTCAGATGGAGCAGGATCCAATGGTTACCATTGATGAAACCAAGGAATATCGGCCATGTCGGCTGGTTTCCGGGGGGCTTTGTTGTGGGGAGATAAGTCATTGACCCTGTGGTGGATACGAAGACGACGGGCGTATTGTACCGATTGGCGAGTAATGGTCCTATGTCTACGTTACTCATCCATTTGTGCAAGGGGACGTAACCTGCCTCACGATCGACGATGAGTGATTCCCCAACTAGTTTAACCCCCGCGTCTCCTCCAAGGATCCCAGACCAAAGGGGTTTGTTTGAATTAAGCTCCTCCAGGAGTTCGGTCCGCACTTGATGCCACCCATCTGGTTTTCCATAGGGGCCATTGGGGTAAACCACTGCCAAATGATGTGCAACACACCGGTAACCACAGTTCCCATCGCCAGGGGGGTCATAAGTGGATTGCACATGGTTGGCGATCCACGAGGGGAGCCCCGGGATGGTGGGCTTCTGCGTGAGATGATAGACATGAATAGTTGGTGACATGTGAGTTCAATGTCATTGAATGACATGAGGCAAAATCCAGGGGGCCAACTCACCAGGACACCAACCCTTTTGGGGACCCACTTTCGTTTAAGAGGCCTCTTGAGCTCTGATCCCGCTGGGGGGGCACTTCCCTGGTTGCATCCCAAAGACATATGAGTAATCGCGGATGGCCTGATGGTGAAACAGCAGATGAGGCTTACACTTGGATTCTCCCCCTCAGCCTGGGCAATATTGGGTTGCTCCTCCTCAGTCTGGCCGGTTGAGACTGAAGGAGCAGGTAACTGTGTAAATCAACAGGTTCTGCCAGTGTCAACTGGGCACGTTTCAGCAGATCACTCATTTGCAAAACGAAATATATACCCACATGAAAATCATGAAGTAACCCGGGCACCGTAGTTATTGAACCAATGCTCCCCTGCGGATCATCAGTTTTGGCGACCTTGCAATTAGGAGAGGTGTTTCCGTGGGGAAGGCATATGTGTCAGCCAATGTCGGATCATTCAAACAAACAGGCAGAAAATCAGACATACCAGAGGGGTATCTAGGCCCTCGCCTGAGGGCGTCATGTTGACATCACCCTCGCCATCTGCGCATGTGGACTCCTCATATTCATCCGCAGTTGCTAGCTCCTCATCAGACTCCTCTTCAGAGACTTCAGAGGAATCCAACGATGTGTTATTGCCCTCAGAGCCATCTGCAGCACCTGGTGGGCCTTTCGCCCCATCGTTCCCTGAAGGGGACAAGCTGACTGCTTGTTTCCTTTTCCCGAGAATAGTAGGTGGAGCCCTTGCATCAGAGCCATCCGTGCGTTTGACCCTTGGTTTCCGACCCAGCTGAAGAGCCCTTGCCCTCTTCAGCTTGTCGTGAGCAGCAAGTTTCCTCGTAGCTTTCTTCTTGGTTTTTTGGGCCTTGTCAATTTCCTCGTCAACCACCTCGGCGTATATTGGATCACGTTTGGCCACTTGGCCTCGTCCGAGTTTCTTGCGTTTCTTGGAAGCCTTCCTTGTTGACTTGCGTACTGGCTCAATATCAGGCGCAATTGGGACAACATGTGTGTTATACAAGACCTGTCTAAACGTTTTCATCAGTCCGGGCAAAGTCAGAGGGCCGTGGAGCGCCAATATTTCCGCTTTCAGGGTCTCATCATAATCCTTATTGAAGTCATATTTTTCTTCTTCCTCCTGTTAATGGGGGGTGGCCAAAATCAACACATATGCTCAGTAACAGTACTTCTTACAAGACAGAAAATAACACCTACCGGATTATCTGGGTTGTAAGTCAAGCTCCACTGAGGGTGGAAGTCAGACAGTTGCACTTCATCGCCCCTCTCCAAGATCTCAGCCAGCATGTGCCAGCATGGAATGCCCATGCTCGCCTTGTAGCTCCCAGTACACTCCGAGTCATCTGCGCCCCCAGCCTTTGCACACGCCTTCTCCTTCCATATTTTATATTGAGCATTGGCCAGATGTAGTGCATGGATCGATAAACATGCATGGAGATGCTTGAAAGGTGGCACGATTCCAGACAAAGAGGAAACCTCCTGGTTCTCCAAGTTGACCACGTTCCTTCTCACCTGCTCGCTAACTGCATCGGCTATTCTTTCGAATACAATCGCCATGTCCGCCTTATGGCTGTTCAGGTGAGACTTGAGCCAGCTGTGTGCCGATTCCCCACGAGCGGTAGTTTGATTACCCAAGTGTGGGGTCTGCGAAACCCACGGGGTCATGAAATAAAATCGATCCGGCAAGACATTATCCATGAGATACTCAACAACAACCGCACGCTCCTCGCCAAGATATTCCACAAGCCGAGCCCAAGCGGCGTCATACGTTGCCTCGTCCTTGGCGTACTGTACTTCGTTCCATTTTGACTTGAAGACGTTCCATTCGGCCTGGTCTTTTAGGAATGACCGCTGGCAATTTGCCCGGATGTTTTGGTCGATATGCCACAAGCATACGTTGTTTATGGCGTCTGGGAAGTGTACGGAGATTGCTTTCCTGAGGGCCTTCTCCCGATCTGTGACAAACACCTGCGGGCTCCTTTCAGGGGCCCAAACACCACTACATAGTGACCTCATTAGCCCTTACCTTGGACTTGGAAAAAACAAGAGAGCACTCACGACAGCTTATTCAATGCCCATGCATACGCCTCATTATTCTCATTCCGCATAAAGCAGAACGCAATCGAAAACGTCATGTTGGTCGCAGATTGTCCCACAATGTGCAAGAGGGGATAGTTGGTCACATTCGTCTTGTACGTGCAATCCATCAGAACGACGTGATGGAACCTCCGGGCGAGCCTCAGTGCCTCCGGATGAGCAAACCATAGGTATAGAAGTTGACCTTTTGCGTCATAGGCTGTGTCATGTTCCCAGTTCGAACTTCGGACCGTACGGAGCAAGAATTGGATTGGAGCCTCACCAGAAATCTTGGCCCTTCTTTCCGCGGCAGTTGTATTGTAGATCGTTCGAAGTGACACAAATTCCCCGTTTGACTTGTTGAGCATCTGAGCAATTGCCTGAGGTTTCAGACCAAGCGAGTGTAGACGATTGACCTCCTCCTGCACTTCTGGAGCCAGCCGTTTGTGCACGGTCTCACATTTCACATTGATTGGCCCATGATTGTGAGGTGAACGTGACGCCCGTAGTTCCCAGGTAGCGTTGGGGAACTCTGCCGCATTTGAGTGATGGCCAGATAAACGGTACAGACAACCGATCTTACGATTGCGGGACTCTCGTTCCCTCGCCACTCCGGCTGGCCTGCGGTCCTCCCCGCCCAATGAACAATCCAAATACACATTTTTCCCTGTATGTGAGTTTCCAGTTGGGACGTTGTACCCATGAGACCTTGCCCACCTTTGAGCAAATTCTCTCAAGGCTGCTTTATCAGTGAAGCGGTACAGTGGGGGATCATCCATAAGAGCTGTTGAAAGAGTGCAAGCATGTCAGTCTCAGCCCAATCATATATTGAAGCCATTCCGGAGCTCCACTCACCTCCGATGGAGTAGTCAAACTTGTCAACCTCTGCACGTGTCAACACCACTGTTTTGGGGTCTTTTTGAATGTCCCCATCAGCCCGAATGGCGGGGTTGCCTGTTGTGACCTCTGTGCCTGGCCCCTCCGCTTACCAGACGAGAAAATAATCAATCAACAAGGGTCCCACTGCATTATATGCATCACATGACTGACCTTCATGGGGTTCTGATACCTCGGCCAAGCCCCCTTGCTCGCCTTGTTCATCCATCCGAACGTCCACTTTGACATCTAACGTTTGACCATTGGATCCCACATCTAACGAGGTCGGACCAACCGGGGCGCCCAAGGATGAATCAAGTGCAGCATTTCCGAATGTTGCAGAAAGGCCGGTGTTTGACGCCAGAACGAGCGACCCAGCATCATCGATACGGTTGGCTGCAAAACTTGATTGGAGCTCGTGAA